TACTGACAAGATTTTAGGACGGAAAATCCAAAATGGCTGCCTTGACATTTACCCAGAATGCCCAAAAACTAATCAGATCTAGATTTTCATACTAAGAATCATCCCTGAAAATTTGAAATTGATGTACCAAACAGTTCACCTGAAAATGCGAAGACAAGATTTTAGGACCGAAAATCCAAAATGGCCGACAATAAAAAGTGATTATGAGTTTTTGCCGATTTCTTTTTACAAAATTATCACATATAACTACTGTTAACAATAACATAGGCTTTTACAAAAAAGTACACCTGAAATTATTTATAAAGCTACAAAATAGTTAAAGTATGAAAACTGAAAAACACCATTCAATATGATACAAAGTATTATCGCGCGCTAACTTTTCTTTAAACATTCAAAATGGCTGACATGACTGAGCTAACAGGTCCAAAACCTAATCAGATCTAGAATGAAGTGAGCTGAACAAGAAAGTTTCAAAAGCAACTGTGAAGCCATTTTTCTTAAAGTTTGCAGACAAGGATTTTAGCATTTGACTTCAAAATGGCTGACAGGAAGTAGGTATCGAGTTAAATTTTTTTCATCCACATCTAGATGCATTCATAAGTTATCCCTGAAAATTTGAAGGTGATATCTGTAGCGGTTTTGGAGAAAACTTGCGGATGTATGGACGGACGGACGGACGGACGGACAGACGGACATACGGACAGACAGACGCGCCTAGGCCGACAATATGGCCCCACACTATGTGGTGGGGACATAAAAAGTTATGAAACAAAATAAACAGGGTTACCAATGGGAGACACCATATTTTTCTACAAGTGAAGTAAATGTATATAAAAACATTTGCTTGCTATATTTGAATAAGTTGAAATGTGATTTAGATAAATATTATTGTAACAAATGTATGAAAAATGTTTGGAATGAATAAAAATACATAGCATGTTGTAGCAGATAGGTACATGGATGTAGCTGTAAAAGAGTCCAGTAATGGCCTCGTACAAGCTCCTAGGGCCTTGAAATTATGAACCTTGTACATGCTCGTACCGGCCTCAAAAAACAACAACAATTACGAGCATGTAAATGCATGTGCAGTACAGCTTATTATCCTCCTTTAGTGTCAGTTACAAAGTGTTACTGGGTGTCTGGAAAGTAAAGATATAAGTGCTCTTAAGCCAATAGATTTGCCTGCTGTATGATTAAATTAATGCAGATTTTAGAATTACATTAAAACAATTTATCCTGCAACTTTCATGACATATTGTTTCAAAATGAAAAAGTTATGGTTGTTATGGTAACAGGAGTTGGGGATATGTGGAGCAGCGTCACAATTGTGTTTTGTAATTCTTTTTCCTGCTCATATCATCTTGGCACTCCATCATATGTTCCTATTTTATATCAAATTATGTATGACAACAACATAAGGATTAGTACTGTAACATTATTTGGTCATTTGACAATACTGGAGATTCAAAGACTTGACAAAACCACTCTGTCCATCTCTAAGATTGCTGACAACATTGGCTTCCAGCCGAATATCATTTTTATGTTAAACTTCTATCAAATATTGCTTTTAGAGATTCATTTATGAAGAAGTTGAACTTGACTTTATCAGGGGAATATGGGCCATTGTACAAAAAGGTTTAATGTCAAGACATTTAATTGCAAAATTTGTTTTCTTTGCGTTGTGAAACCGTGTATTGTGGAGGTGCACTATTGACTTTCCTATTAATACAGGGACATTTTTTCTCTAAGCACTTTTCTTTGAGTATGTATAATGATTAGTGACACTACATAGTTCTGATATGTATCAATGATATCATTATACAAAGAGAATACTATGGCAGGAAGTATACAATATTGACTAAAACATTGATAGAAAATACACTGTTTCAAATAGTTATATTTAAGCAATTTATCACATTTTAGCGATATCCTGGAACTGCTCCGCATACCCCTCACCACTGTAACCATGACAACCATAACTTTAAGACATTGAGATGTTATGAGATGAAAGTTGGTAGATATATTGTCATAAAGTTCCTCTACAATCTCTTAGCAATTTCATTACAAAAAACCAAAATCTTCTTAAAATTAGAGTATTTGTATCTTTACTTTCTGGAAAACCCTATACTCTGAATGAGTGCAATGTTTGGCAACATCGCATGTATGTCAAGTCAATTCAATTCAATTCACATGTGCTGTGTTCATGAATATTTATGAGTTGTCCTTATTGATAGATGTCCATAATTGATGAATATCTTTGTCTTATAATTTTCTACTCTCTATCATTCTGGATTTAGAAATTTTAAACTTTTGTACTTATTTGTTACTGTATATGGTTGATACTTTGTTATTTTCTGTGATTGTTAATATTTCTTTTCTTTTTTAATGCTGTATTTCTTTTGTTCTCAGATGTCCATGCAATGATACACGGCCTAAAAAACTATGCTGCCTCAATGAAAAACAAAGGATGAAGCTAGTTCAGTAAGACCTATTATCATATCTATGTGTGAATAGAGTACATAGGGGTATTGTTAGACATGTGGCATTGTCGGTCAATCTTCAATAACTTTTTGTTTTATGATTTCTTTATTGAAACTTCAAATTAGACACATAGTTTAATCTATATGGTGATACGTATTGTAAAGGGTCTAAAAACGCCTCAGATTTTCACCACCCATGGCCCCAAAATCCCCCAAAATTGGGCAAGGTTACCTTAATTCCCTGTCTCCTATGATTTCAATCATGTTGTAGTTTTACCAATATATAGACAGAAACAAGACAAACTAGAAAAACAGCAACTCCATGGAGTAGCAAATCCCACCGAACAATTAGTGGCGATTAGTGGCAATCAAAATTTCTTCTTGAGCAGAGCTTGTCTGTCCCTGGCCAAAGAATACATTTTTTACGAAAATGGCTGCCATGAAATGGCCACCATTTTGATATTTAGCAGCCATTTTAGAAATCTCATAGCTCCCTTGTCCCTAGGCATCAGCATATAAATTTGAACCAAATCCGTCAAGTTGTATTTAAGTTATCAAAGATTACTATTATTATTTAAAATTATTAAGACTATTACTATGCAAAATGGAGGCCATTTTAAAATTCAGCTGCCATCTTGAAAAGTCTTTGTCAAACAGAGATACTGTGTCTCTTGGCATCATCATATAAAATTCTATCCAAATGCGTTCACTGGTATTTGAGTAATCAAAGATAATGTTTTATTTACGAAAAATGGCCACCATTTTGACATTTAGCAGCCATTTTTAAAATATTCTTCAGCATACCTCCTTTGTCCCTAGGCATCAGCATATTAAATGGCCAAATCCACTCACTGTTATTTGAGTTATCAAAGATTACGTTCTTTTATGAAAAATGGCTGCCATTTTGATATTTAACAGCCATTTTAGAAATCTCTTTTTCAGCGTAGCTCCCTTGTCTCTAGGCATCAGCAAATAAAATTTGATCCAAATCTGTCAACTTATATTTGAGTTATCAAACATTGGGTTTTTTTATGAAAAATGGCAGCCATTTTGAATATCAGCCGCCATCTTAAAAATTCTTTCTTGAACAAATCTTCTTTGTCCCTAGGCATCATCATATAAAATTTGAACCAAATCCATTCACTGGTATTTGAGTTATCATTGATTACATTTTTTATGAAAAATGGCCGCCATTTTGAAATTTAGCAGCCATCTTGAAAATCTCTTCTTGAGTGATGCTCCTTTGTCCTTAGGCTTCAGCATATAAAATTTGAATCAAATCCAACAACTTGTATTGTATATACCAAATATGAACAAAATCGCTCCACTACTTTTCAAGTTACAGCAAAAATCGTTAAATGACGTGCAAAGGCAGCCATTTTTCAAGATGGCTGCCATGTATTTCTTCTATATTTTACATTTCTAGCTTAATCAATGCGTTCCTTATATCCCTCCTAACTTCGTTCGATGGGATAATAAACCAATCAAATTACAGAATATAGTCCATGCACCATCAATTAGCTAATATAAATGTGTGACTCAATGTAACATGCAAAAATAGTCATCTTTCTGAGAGTGGGATTCGCTCCTGGCCTGTGGTTTGTTGATCTTTTAGAAAATGGTGTTGTTCCCCACTGTGGTTCGTTTTATAATAGAAGGGGGTTCGGGGTGAGTGGGGGAGGTGGGGGGATTCACAAGACCCCCATGAAATCACTCTCACTACGCCCATGCTTCTAGAGTTGTAAGTATGGACAATATCTTTGAAATAGGTCCAAAGATAAGAGATTTACTTGGGGTAATCTTTTGGCATTTCGAGCATGTAATTTAAAATGACCATAAAATTATGACTATTAAAACTAGACCAATGAAACATAGCATAATGAATGAATACAGAACAAGGTATGTGCCACATATGAATCCATGTTGGAAGACAGATTTATTAACATTTGTTTGGGTTACCTTTATGGCTCACCCTGTAAGAGTTACATAAGTAAAACTAGAAAATGACAATGCCAGGACAGCAAATCCAAACAAACATCTTGTCATGCATTGGACAAGACTCGGCCATCACTTTTTAAAATGTCTACCATCCATATAAGATCAAATGCCAGAAGATAATGTGTCATGCTTCTAACAATACAAATGTAAAATATCTATCAAATTCCCCCTATACCTTTAAGTACTAGTGTTAGAGCAAAAATGTAAAAAGACTCATATAAAAATGCTCAACATTTCCAATTGACTGCCTTATTAGGTAAATCATCAGAATATAATTTTTTGTGCTTCCAATACAAGTATTTACATATGAAATATCATATTTGACAAAATGTTTACTTATGCGTCTGCATTTACAAAGAATATGTTTTGCAGCATTGATGGTGTTAGGTGCATAGAATTAAACTTGAAAAAAAGACGATACTTGATAACAACAGATGTAGACATTGAGAGGATTAAAGAACAAATTGAATCTGATGTAGAGTTGAAACCACATAGATATGACTTTACCACATGGAATGATAGTGAATGTGCTGAACTGGAAGAAATTTACTTGAAAGAAAAGTCCTTGGAAGCAGAGAACCTTAAACAGAAATTGGCTGAGTAAGTATTAATCCTCTTACTAAAAGATAAATGGTACAGACTGACCAAACAAGAAAATGGCAATTGTTCTTTAAGACATCTCATGTTACTCTTTGGTATTTCTTATTCTACCAAAGAATAATTATATTTCATGATTATTCTCTATTGTATAAAGTAACTGTATTGTAATTATTATGTTTGTTGCTCCGATTGATTTTCGGGAATAAAAGAAACAATAAACAATAAACAATATACCAGTAAGTTTGACATGTATATATATATGCTACTAGGATGGATGGAGTGCTGTGTGTTGAGATAATGCCATGCTTAGAGGGATATAAAATAATAACTGATGGAAATGTAAAAGAGTCTGTGAAGTGGACAATAAATATTGACAGAGAGCTATCATTGATAACAAAGCTCGATTTTGAGGCATTGGAAAAATGCACAGCTTGCATTGGTGGCAATTCCTCAGACATGTGCAATCTGAATGGAAGACAAAGAGCAAAGTTGGGAAGGTAAGTCAAATTACTGCTGTCACACTCATTCAAAGGTCTGGAATTAACAAATGTGTAGATTAAATCATCTACAATATACATTGGTTCCTGGACTTAAATCTCTACATGGTTTGATGATTAATAGTATTTAAACTGCAAATTATCCTGAATGCCGAACACAAATCAGTTGAAGACAAGATTTTAAGACAAATATCCAATGTGGCCGCCTTAAAATTTACCCAGACTGCCTAAAAACGAAGTAGTTTGATATTTTCATACAAAGAATCATTCCTGAAAATTTGAAATCAATCTGTCAACTGGTCGCCAGGAAAAAATTTAGACAAGACTTTACAGAGAAGATTTTAGGACAGAAAATCCAAAATGGCCACCTTGATATTTAACCAGAATGCCCAAAACCTAATCCTAAACCTAATCAATTCGAGATTTGCATACTAAGAATCATTCCTAAAAATTTTAAATTGATCCGTGAAATGATTAGTCTAAAAAAGCGTAGACAAAACTTTACAGACACGAATTTTAGGACAGAAAATCCAAAATGGCTGCCTTAACATTTACCCAGAACAGCCAAAACCTAATCAGTTGAAGTTTATCAAACAAAGAATTATCCATGAAAATTTGAAATTGATCCCTAAAACGATTTGCCTGAAATATGTAGATAAGCAGACATAAGGTTTTGTCTATTTTTTTTTAATAAAATTATTGCATATAGCTACTGTAAACTCTGAGATGGTTTTCACAATACAGGTCACCTGAAATTATTTTTAAAGCTATTAAATTATTTAATTATGAGAATGGAAAAACACCTATTAATATGATACAAAGTATTATCGCTCTTTTCTTAAGACATTCAAAATGGCTGCCATGACTGAGCCAACATGTCCAAAACCTAATCAGATGTAAAATGAAGTGAGTTTTAAGTTCAAAGTTTAAAGGTTTAAATGTAACTGTGAAGCCATTTTCCTCAAAGTTTGCAGAGAAGGATTTTAGCATTTGGCTTAAAATGGCCAATGGGAAATAGGTATTGAGTCAAATTCTACTGCATCTGTACTTCTGTAACCCTGAAAATTTGAAGGTGATATCTGTAGCAGTTTTGGAGAAAACTGTCAGACATACAGACAGACAGACAGACACGCCTAGGCCGACAATATGGCCCCACACTATGTGATGGGGACATAAAAATGCATATGTTTGCAAACAAATAGTTCAGAAGACAACCGAATCGGCAATTTAATACCTCATTTTGTTATGGAAATAGAACTAGAAAAAATAGAAATAGAAAAAATGGTTAAAATCTGCACTTCTAGCCAGTTCGAGGTTCCAACATTTTGTTACTGAATCGAGTGGATCACCAGTGATATTGCCAGAAAGACTTTGTCATTCCAATATGATTATCAGACTTGCCAACCTCCCGTTTTTTTAAGGGAATCTCCCTTAAATTTTTTTGTTTTTCTGTAAAAAATACCAAACTCCCGTACCGTTTTCTCCTGTAAAAACTCCCGTACCGTATTTCTACTAAAACCTCCCATAATTTTTTTTAAAGATATGGCCGTAAAATCTCCCATATTTTTGTTGAAATCTCCTGTAAAATCTCTCGTATTCTGGTATAACTCCCGTAAAATCTCCTGTTTTCTGGTATAACTCCCGTAAAATCTCCCGTTTTCTTGGTATAACTCCTGTAAAATTTCCGTTTTTTGCTGTTGAAATCTACCGTATTTAAAAGGAATTTAACAAATTTCAGACCTTGATTATTGCAGGCACGCTTCTTTCTTTTACTCCAAGAAGGATTGGCTCCCATAGTTCACTATCGATACTTTCATAAATAACTTAAAAGTACTTCATTCCCATGATTCAAATTGCTTTTCTGCGATCAGTTTGATATAAGTTTGCACACCAAATGTCCACAAACGGGGGCCAGTTCATATTCTGTCATACTTCTGTCGGGAGAATACATTTTGTTTTTATATGGCGCTAAACAAAATATTCCCGCAGTATAAGGCGCATTATGGGTAGGGACTGCTGTGAAATAATGAACGTAAGTGACATCTATCTTAGATTATAAGTTCTAATTAATTTATTAACTGTGCATGCGTCATAATAATTTCAACCAATTAAATCGCTGGATTTAATGCTCATGCGCAAAAAACCAAACCTAAAAATGGAACCTCACGCAGATTCCCCTTAGCATATAGTGAACGCCACATATACATTTTACTTAGCTTTGATCAATTAAAAAATTAATTTCATAAATCTACCTTGAAAACTCCCGTTTTTTCAGAAATCTCCCATAAATACTCACGTTTTTTTCAAAATCTACCGTAAAAACACCTGTTTTTTCAGAAACCTACCGTAAGAACTCCCATTTTTTCAGAACCTACTGCAAAAACTCCCGTTTTTTCTGAAATCTTCCGTAAAAAAAGTCACGTTTTTTAAAATTTAAAATTCAAAATCTACGGTAAAAACTCCCGTTTTTCAAAATCTAAAGTAAAAACTCCAGTTTTTTCAGAAATCTACAGTAAAAACTCCTGTTTTTTCCGAAATCTAGTGTAAAAACTCCCGTTTTTTCGGAATCTACCGTAAAAAACTCCCATTTTTTCAGAAAGCTACCGTAAAAACTCCCATTTTTTCATAAATCTACCGTAAAAACTCCCTTTTTTTAAAAATCTACCGCAAAAAACTCCCGTTTTTTTCAAAACCTACCGTAAAAACTCCCATTTTTTCAGAACCTACTGCAAAAACTCCCGTTTTTTCTGAAATCTTCCGTAAAAAAAGTCACGTTTTTTAAAATTTACCGCGAAATTACCTTTTTTTAAAAATCTCCCGTAAAAATCCAGTTTTTTCAAAATCTCCCGTAAAAACTCCTGTTTTTTTCCAAAATTTACCGCAAAAATTCCCGGTTTTTTAAATCTCCCGTAAAAAACTACCATTTTTTTCAAAAAACTCCCGCTTTTTTTCAAAAAACTTCCGCAAAAACTACCGGATTTTGAAAAAAACTCCCGTAAAAGTACCACAATTTTTTTTAAATCTCCCAAAAATTTTTCATTTTAGGTTGGCAAGTCTGACAATACTAAGTTCAGACAAATGAGAATAAAGATTATACCTGTTTAAATGATGAAACTGTATCATTCCACCCCAATTAATATAAATAATATTTTTTTCATTTTACATTTAAGGATCATTGGTGTGATGCTTTTAGAGTTGATGTCAGACACCAATCGATATCAGTTAACCACAACATGCGACACTGAGTTGGTGAAAGATCTTATAAATCAGGACAGAGAATTCAAAGATCGACATGTGTTTGACTTCAAAATTTGGGATGGTACATGTACAAATGTGTCATTTTCTGGTGATGAGATAAATGAAGCAACAGCGTTGTTTGCCCCAAAGTGTGGAACAGTAGGAGGCTATCTAAAATTCACCTCTTCAACTGCAGATGTCAGATGGTTTTTCATAACATGTTACCATCTATTTCCAATGTGTGAGGTTAACGATCCTATCTATTTACTCGATCAAGATAATAAAAATTGGTGTGTAGGCCACCTAGCATTACAAATTTCTCCATATGACCCCATTGATGTTCTCAATAACGAAGAGAGTGAAACATACGACCTAGCCTTAGTAGAACTTAACCCAACATTTGCTGGTAAAATTGAAGAAGGTAACTGCAAAAAATGTATGCTGAGTACAACACTAGAAAGAGAAGGTGTTATTCAAAAGATTGGTAAGAAAACAGGTCATACTACTGGAACGATTACAAGTGTAAACATAACAGGGAAACATTTTTATAAAGATGGTGGGGAAGAAAAGGAAATATCAATATGTAACTCAATGAGAATAACAGGAAACGCAAACGGAGACTTTTTCAGACCAGGGGACAGTGGGGCAATAGCATTCAAGAAACATGCTGATAAGTACATTTGGGTTGGCATGTGCTATATGATCACACATGAAAAGGGAAGCTGCCTAGCATACTCATTCAAAAACCTCATCAGGGCTATTCAGCAAAAATATCCAGAACAAGGAGAATTTGAAATCAACTGTGGAGGAAATATATGTTCAAGAAATCACATTCACAGAGAGTTGCTGATGGAAATGTAACGGTAAGGCTCAGCCTCAGTTATGCAGTTTTACAATTTTGTGGTAATGAAGAGCATTACAATTAGCCTTGTGCTGTTTCTGCCATAATACTTGTAAACTTAAATTTGGATCAAAAAATGATGAAATTTCACAGTTTCAAATACCATATGGTATAACCCATCTTTTACTCTGAAAATTAAATATTAAGGAACAGTACCTGTTCCTTTTTCCCCTCTGTCCTTTCCACAGCGCCATATGTTCCTGATGCCATACGCATATATCTCTGGTCTTGCAAGGTTATCCCGGATGAATGGATTGTCTGCTGGTATTGTATAGGGGATATTTGGGTCACGTGTGTCTATATTGATCCTTAGTACTTTCCCTAGTAAGCTAAACCTGTTATAAATAGAGGAAATAGAAATGTTTAGTTGGATATAATTGGTTGTTTTAGAGATGAAAGAGTTGTCAACTGGTATTCTATAGGGAACACTGGGGTCTCCTTTGTCTATATTGACCATCAAAAATATATGGTAAAATGTAATATAATTTGGTTGTTCTAAAGATGAATGGGTTGTCCATGATACAGTTTAGGGCACACTTGAGTTGAACATGTTGTATATAGGATGTATCAAAATCGAGTTGTAGTGGATATGTATCAAATAGTATCAGTATCAAATAGTGGCCCAGACAGAAGTAATTTGATTCAATTCTAATATGCATATAATATGGAATTGCTATAACATGGCATATTTGAAATTAATATTCAAACACCATCCTCCTAACACAGGCCTACAGAGCTCGTACCTCCTAAAGGAAGGAAAGTAGTGGATAATGTCTGGAGCACTGCGTATGGAGAAATGAGCAAAAGCAGGGAACTTATGTTTTTTGGTATTGTTGGATACAAAACCATCCAGACAAGATAATTATTACAAGTTCAGTCTGGGCTACTACTGGATACATTGTACAATCATGTTACAAAGACAAACATGACAATCATGCAGATAAAGCTGTGATAATAATCATAGATATTCATTTATCTTAATATGCTATCCTAAACAGCATTTCATAATCTTGACGTATAGATGTGTATTTGTATATTCTACATTTATAGCTTTTATTTAACACACCAATGGAGTCATACTTATTCTGAGCATTATCGTCTCTGTCTCCCGATCCACCCCCATCTCCAATAAATAGGTACAGGTATCCATCATCTCCAAACAAGATCTAAAAGTACAAATAAATGCTATGACACTTTTCATATTTTACGCATAAAAATAACAATTCTGAGAATCAACATGCAGACAAGCTAATGATGAAAATTAATTTGTAAATAACTTTTATTATCATAAGGTAAAAGTAAAAATGAAGAAGATTAAGGATCTGGGAGCTAGAGAAGATCATGTCAAGAAAATCCTCCTCAATCTGTTGAATATAATATTATACACTGCATACTTGTACTGCTTATATTATCATATCATATACTTGTACATATAATATAATGTATTAAAAGTGATCTCCCCAGCTTTTTTCTTTTGGTCAAAATGTTGTCAATATTTCATCTTTTACAAAGGATGCACACAAGTTTTCAACAGAGGGTAGCACATAACTTTTGAATTCCACCCATGTGAAGCACCCATATAAATATATGCTCCAATGCTTGGGAGATCGCTGATAATGGTGGTGGTTAACATACTTTTATACGAAATAAAAAGTATATTTTTCATAATGTTCATAGGCTGAGGTTTTATATCAGAGACTGTCTTCAGGCTCATAGCCAAGGGGGTTCATGCAGTTTTTCACCATTCTGAGCATTTTTAAGTGATTTTGGCCATTTTTGGGCCAAAGTTGTAAAAGTTGTCAAAAGCGAGCCCCCCCCCCCCCCTTGGAATTTTTCAAAAAGTGAACCCCCTCCGCCTGACCTATTAAAAGAGAAAATCTGCTAGTTAGACTACAGTATGTAACCTCAACATATGATTTAAATATAATATAACTTGTGTAGGGGAAGTGGTCCTAATTATCGCACGGTCCTAATTATCGCACGATTGTCCTAAATAGCTAAAATATGCACCCACCATCTTTTAAACCAGTGTTACGAAAAACAGTTCAACACCATTACTCCCAATCTTCATGATTTATTCATATATTTAGAAATATCTCTTCATTTTTTAAGAATTGTTAACTTCCGCCATTGTCATAAATGCTTTTGCGCAAGAAGTGAAATTCGTCTGACAAATTTTGACCCCCTCCAAATAAAGACAGAAAAGTAAGTGTATAATGTATATTTTGTTGATATTTTACACTAAAACTGATAGAAAAATGATTACAGCATATGTATGTATCTGTTATAAACAGAGAAATGTATACAGTATCGTGAAATGACATCTGAAACATAACTGTGCGATAATTAGGACGACTGTGCGATAATTAGGACCACCGCACATGCGAGTCTAAGGGGTCTTAAAGTGTTAGCGTTCGGAGATTGAGAAATGTCAAACACTACTTAGATTTTAGAGGAAAGGTTGATCTTTCGTCTCATATTCTTAAAGTAAGTTGAAGTTATCATATTTGAAATCATCAGTAGTTTCCCTGAGTACCCGTGCGATGATAGGACGACTTCCCCTATAACTCCTACAATTGGTAAGAACATTTATGTAAAGAATGTCATTCAGGTTTGCTCCATTTTATTTCATTTCTCCCTTATGTTTCTAGATGAGAAAAGGGTTTCAGAGATTTTCAATTCGTTAAAAAGAACTGTGAATACTATATTTTTATTTCTTAATTAAAAGGAATCAATATGCTATTCTGACATTTTTACGATTGCTTCGTTGACTTAATCTAATGAAATGTCAAAAAGGCTAGATGTTAAAATGCAGCAAATCTCTGATACTTTCTTAATGTATTTTATTTTGTTAATAATGTTTTCTTAACCATATACCATACAGAAAAAGTGATTAAGAATTTGATATTACATGTATATTTCCTAGATGTGATTTTTTGTGTACTTAGTAATGAAACAAATTTTATGTGCTAATATATATTTTATACATATATATTGTATATTATGAGGTTATATAATGGTTCTTTCTGTATATCGTGTTTATACTCGAGTGAGTATATAATATATTCACAAGTGAGCGTAGCGAACGAGTGAATATATTATATTCTCACGAGAGTATAAAATGCACGATATACAGAATGAACCATTATATAATCTTATTATGCCACTCTAATTTCAAGTACAGTTGATTCGAACACAATCATAACAATTAAAAACCATAAAAATATCTCATAGTCAACTCAATAATGCTGATGTTGATCTCGAACCATTTATGACGTGGCTTGATTCAAGCAAATCATGCCGGAACCATTTATGACGTCACTTGATTCTAGGAAATCATGAAAATTTTCATGATTTTTTTTATTCATTAGTTCCCAGAATGCACTTCTACAGTGGTATACGCTGGAGTGTATACGGAGGAGTGGTATACGATGACGATATACCACTCTCCACTGTATATCGTTGTTATAGACCCATGTTATACAACTGTAATTGGACTTAGAGTGGTATAATATATTATATTGCTTTACCTAAGAAAAATCCATTTGCATCATCTATTTTTCTCAAGAAAATGTTATGAGTTTTACGACACCCTATTTTGAAAATATAAGAAAAAATTAAAAGCATCCACCAAATGTTTTCTAACTACATGCATTTGATTCTTTCTATAAGTGAATTTGACTAGCTTTAAGTTAATTTGCATTTTACAAGTAAATTAAAACAAAGATTTGATTTTTAAATACATATGTCATATACATGTATTAGATAAAGTATCCATAAGATGCACTTTTGTATAAACATTCCAAAATGTAACATAAAATAATAATAACATTTTTCTTCAATAAATAACTGTGTGTGATTTAGAATTGAAATAATAATGATTTAACTTTTGTTATATTATATGTTATCAGTTTTAAGACATAGTGATGGATTTGAGCCCAGGACTCCAATGAATTGTAAATGATTATTATCTCTCTGACTTTTGCCATATAAATGGGATAAATGTTGAAATCTTTGCCAGTGAATGTATGGTGATGGCAAACATCACTGAAATTAGACTGATATTTTGACTGAAACATACCCCACTCATATTCAACTAATTTTCGTAAACTAAGATATAAAGGAGCACAGAAAGTATCGCATCCAATTTCAGACAGTCATATGTTGGATTTTGTCTGTTTTCTGAGGATTTAAAAAGGTGCATATGTTAGGCCAATCCATTACCTACAGGAAAAGTACTCATGGAGATGATAAAATAATTTTGACTTCAAGACAGGGAAGGTGCGAACAACCCACCCCTTTCAACCCCTTTAACCCTTTTTGTTCCATCAATAAATGTATGTTGCGTTTTGAGACACAGTTTAACCCCTTAATAGGAATAATGCTTTCCTTTTAGATAACGTAGAAAACAATATTTTTCATGTTATTTTCCCATAGGGTTCATTGCTTTCAGCTTAATTTTGGTCACCCATAATTGATATCTTTAAAACCCCTGAAGGAATGCATTTTTCCTTTTAAGGGGTTAACTGTGTCTCAAAACGCAACATACATATACGATGCAACAAAAATTGAAAAAAGCAGGGGTAGAAGGGGAGGGAGGGTTGTTTGCACCTTTCCTGTCTCAAAGTCAAAATTATTTTATCATCTCTATTAGCCTATATGAGTACTTTTCCTGTGGGTAATGCATTGGCCTAAGATATGCACCTGTTTAAATCCTCAGAAAATAGCTAAAATCTAACATGACTGTCTGAAATCTATTGCTATAATATCCGTCTTCTTTTAAGAACATAAATTCTGATATATTTATATTTATGACATATTAATAACTTGGCCTCAATTTGTATGTACAGTATTCAACCAATCAATGATATGTTGTGATTTATTCAACCAAAACTATTACCAAGGCAACATTAATTTTAGTTATTGAAATCAATCTTGATTTCTATATAGAGTAAACAATACAATTGCAATGAACATATATTTTTTTTATCACATACCACTTTGTATTGTTATACATGTAAAGTATGTGATGATATGAAATCAATGCAAAGCTTAAGTTACAATACAAGATATTTATATCTCATAATTTAATAGTAAACTTCTCCATATATATTCCATTACCTATTCAACATAATTATAAGAATGGGAAGAAGAGATTTGCATCATAGAAGTGAAGGTTGGTATTCAAGACTTTGGACCCCCTGTTTTCTTGACCCATTAGACACTTGTACGTGAGAGCAGCCCCATAGTCAGGAGGAGCAGATGTTCCCCCCCCCCCCTTCCTGGCCAGAAATTCTTTCAAAATCATGCAGTTTTTCACCATTCTAAGCTCTTTTCGCAAGATTTTTTGCCAAAACTGTCAAAACGCTCCCCCCCACCTTGGCAAAAGCTCCCCCTTGGTAAAACCGCTCCCCCAGGTAAATCCTAGCTACGGGCCTGAAGAGTGTGTGGAGTCTTGTAGTGTGAGGGGGTCACAAGGGCTTGTAGCTGAACTAGAGTTTTGGCTTTTACGAACGACTTGTTTAAATTTCAGTTGAGGGAATGTATCTACTATAGCACTGACACCTCTCCATGTACCTAAGAATGATTGAAAGCAAAGCTTATTATCCCTTGGAGCCTGCTGAATAATTGCAAAGTCAATATATTCTGCTCTCACAGGAACTTAACAAAGGAAACGTGCAAAAGAGAAGGAAAACCATGAGTTATGAACCCTACAAAGGGAGCCTTTCCAAAATTGACAGAATGGAGAAAATGCAATTTACATAATGATTAGGGGTAGAAGTAAATCATTTATCCTAAATGATGATTTTCTATGGAATTGTTTGCGAAAATGTATCTGAGATTAGGAAGCATCCAGGAAAAAAGAAGAGAAGATTCACTTTATTTTTCCACAAATGTCAAGATTTAGACAGGTTCCCTGAAATTCAACCTTTGTAATCCACTGGGAAATGCTCAGGTTGCAGCCTAAGATCCTGTTATACAAGCTTAGATACAAATTGCTTTTTCTACCAGAAGAAATATCTACTTGTCTTCAGTATTGCTCTAGATTCCCCTATTGTAACATATTGTGAATAATAATTTAGCAGAGTTCCCCTTTATCTGAAGCTTGTGAGAGATCTTGTTCTCATTCAGTCAGGTAGTAGAGACTGGTTGTAAAACCTCCAATGCCTAAATTTAGACTCTGCTTTGTATTTAAGGACTTTAGAAAGTTCAACTTAATACATGTTTATGTAAACAATCCAAGCATATGACGCATAGGTTCGTGACAGGTATGACTTGCACGAACCAAGTACAATTTAATGTCAAATGAATAAATTATGATTATTGGAATGAAATAAAATATGTCTTCTCACTTGGACACCTGTTTTAATTTGCCTTATTAAATCTGAGAATTTAAAAAAAATAAAAGGTTGTGAGAGAAAAAGCAATGTTAAATACATGCTGATGTTGTACAACATAGGATGTTGTCATGATACCCCTTATAAAAAATTCAACCTTGAAAGTCCGAATTTAAACCGTTTCCATCATTCATTGAATACTGATTGTTTCAACTACTAAGATCAAAGGAAAAACCATTGTACGGTGATAAGCAATCATTGTGCAACCATTGCGTTCAACCAAACAAAGTCAACTCTTTTTCAACGACTGCGCAACCATTTCTATACAATCATTGTAATCTGCAACCATTGTAAACTGCAACCATTTCACATTGAAATGTAAATGGTTGCAATACGTTTTGTTCAATGATTACATAGTTCAAGCCCTGCAACCATCCTGAATTGGTATCGTTCCAAAAAAGTAATCATTTTACTTGAATCAAAATTATCTTTAAGTAAGGATTTGAATCTACCTCTATTCAACAACAGTATATTAGGATATTTTTTCTGCAAGCATACATGCATGTTTATTATAGTAAATTACTAAATTCATGTTCATATGTTTCTTTCTCCAGTACGGATTTAGGAATGCGATACCAGACTAGTTTTCCACTCAATGGCATATGATAATTTATGTTCTCTGTCATTTACATTATTTACACAATTAAAAGTACCGTATCTAATGTTTATTTCCCATTATCTGATATTGCCAAAATAATGTATTTTTAATGTTAATTATGAAAAGAATTGAGCAAAATTCCAATTTGGTTAAGAAATTGACCAAGGAAAATCTTAAGATTTCCTTTAAACTTAACAAAATCACAAGACGAGAAACCATTGTTTTTGTTCATGATTAGACTGATATACATGTATGATCAAAAGAAGCAGGGTATGATGTACAAAATAATACAAACATGTAATCACAAGTTGATTGCTTTATTTAGTAAAAATGTTTTTATAGTAATAATGCATTCAGGCACCAAAGACTTAATTTTCACAGTTTCAATGGAAAGCATCTGAATCAATAATTTCAGTAAATTTTGTTGAGGTAGATGAATTATTGCTACACCCATGATATACAAATAGATTGGTTTGGGAACATATTGATATCGGAGGGTTTAGCTCAGGACCCCCACAAAAGTTTATATACAATGAACAGGCCAGTATTCAGCCCCCCTCCCAGCAAAATGGGTCTTCAAATGTATCCATGTGTAGTTAACACCAAATATCAAGAGTATGACTCACTAAAATTTAAAAAATACAAACAAGAGGACTATTTTGATATTGACTGTATATTATGTGTGAAACACATTATTCACAACAGATTTAATTACCATGTTCTTTCTTGGCAAATATTTTTTATAACAATGCTCAACACAACAATACCTACTACATATTGATATTCTCATGGGTTTAAGAAAATCAAAATGCTTGAACAGCCAATTAAAACGGTTGAACAGCTAATTAAAACGGTTTGAACAGCTAATTAAAACGGTTGAACAGTTAATTAAAACGGTTGAACGGCTAATTAAAATGCTTGACAAGAAAAAGGGTTCATAGCTCTAGTTTCTGTTATATCTATTTTCATCTTGTGTTATACTATATATTTATTTTAATTATCTATTTCATGCAGAGGGGGGGGGGAGTTAAAATTTAAAAAGTGTTTTCAGATTTTTGAGGGTTTATTTCTTTATTCAATTACTTCAATAAGTGCTGAGAAATCTCAAATAGCAAGAATATGAAACTGCAAATAATATTTTCAGAATTTTTTATTTAGTTTGTTTTACCATAGGCATTCAATAGATTGAAAGTCCATGGTTTTACTTTATTCACTAGGGCAGAGCATTTGTACTGAAAAGTGTTTTCAGTTTAAATGATATGTGTTGATGATTAAAAAATAAAAACCAAAAACAGGGCTTATTTTTCAAAACTCTAAACTTGGAAAAATCTGGAGGAAAATATGGGAGATTTTCTTTGGCAAATTATTTATCAAGTTCTGTGTATGGAATAATTTAAATTACATAGGATGCTTCCTTTATAGCAGACTCTAATCAAACTGATATAATAAGGTTTGTTTTGCCTTGCCGAATTATTTTTGTTTTGTTTATGGATTAATGGATTAATAAAGTTTCTTTAGACACATCCTTCAAAGCAGACTCTAATCAAACTAGATAGACTGAGTCTAACTGTAATCAGAGTTTTTTAAGTTATGCTTATCGACTTAATTATTTAAAACACATCCTGTAATGTCTGATTGCATTTTCTCTATCAAATCAAAAATATCAAATCAAAACAGATTATTTTCCCATTGAAGGATTTCTTCCTTCCAGACACATCTTCCTTCCTTTATAATTGCGATGATTGCAAGGTGAAGTGTAAAATCCAAGACTTGACCCAATCAAAATTTTTTTCAAATGATTTTGCAATAACTTAAAAAATAGTGAAGTGATTTTGTAAAAATGATAGTCATGACAGCGAGGGGGATTTGCTATGCCTAAGCATTGCTGTTATCTAGATAATATACATGTGAGTTAGACAATCACCATCCTTCAAAGTTAGATGAAAATTGGTTTAATATATTTTCATTCACAAGACAAGTTTACTTAACTATTTCAATACTTTAAATATCTTTTTGATCAAACCATTTAAATTTTGACATGTACTGTACAGTATGCATGAAATACACACATTTGAAATATATTTTTTAAAGAGCAAGATAATTATTTTATGTTGTATTGAGATAAAATTGCCATAGTTTTAAAGGGTTGCATTCTATTGAAACGGTTGCAAGAAATGCAACCAAAATTGTCAAGCGTTTACAATGGTTACATATGATTGAAACATTTCAATGAGTTTACAACCAAAATTGTAATGGTTGCATCGTAACGGTTGGCATGGTTGCATAAATGATCGGATCAATGATTGTACAATGATTGTGCAACGGTTTAAATTCGGACTTTCAAGGTTGAATTTTTTATAAGGGACTGATTGTGTGAAACTAAGAGCCTGGTTTTATGCTGAACTTTCATTGGCAAAGCATTCAGAGATATTAACTCTATATAACCTTACAAATATTTGATTTTGCATCTTAAAAGACAGCTTCATTGTGGGAATGACATAGTGTCATATTGATAAGAAATATTCAGTAATCAACAAAATATATTCACCTCTCCTCCATTATGGTTCCAATTTGGTTGCTCAATCTTAAGAATAATACGCTCTGAGTTGGCATCGACTTTATTAGGGTTGTTAGCTTGTACAAGCATTTCAGATATCACTGTGGTATGGTCCCCTCCTTTTGATTTAGTAGAATAAAATATGTATAATTTCCGATTAGTTGTATAATTTGGGTGAAATGTCATTCCGAGAAAACCTCGTTCATCTCCTTCGCGACTTGTTGTCAAGACTATTTCCGTGATATTCAAAAATGGTTCTTCTATTTTTGTTTTATTTTTGTAAAATATGTACACAAGTCCTAATTGTTTTCCAATGAAGATCCTTTCTGTATCGTCATTAGCATGACGCATAAGCAATGGTTGTCGAAGCTCAGAAGCAAACTCCTCAAGGCACAGACAACCTTTGACAGTTGTGGCATTATTTGTGACTTTTTTCGTCAAAATTGGATTGCTCAGCAACTCTGGAAAACAATAATCAACATCCGGTATAGCATTGAACTCACAAAACTGATCAGCTGAACTCAATGACTGTAAAATGATGCTGCTATTAGTGATATGTTTGACGATATCTTTGCACGCGTTGTAGAAATCGTTGCAGTAAGTCCTACAAAGTCCAGGTAATTCTCTTGGCGGAGCATTTGGGTTACTCTCTGATGCATAGCTATGTGCTGCATAAGGTGAGCAAGCTTGACACAGAATATCTTCAAGATATTGGTTGCAGTGATGAAGATTTTCAGCTTTCAATTTCTTTACAGTTTCTTCATACTGTTCTTGAATCTGCCTATCTTTGCTCCCAGTGCAACAGCCAAATTCTTTATAATTCGCACAAAAAGGAGATAACTTCTCCTGTTGGAAAGGTGGTCTGAAGTCTAAACATTGCGGGTGACATTGTATTAATGTTAAATTGACGCAGATTATACCCAAAATCTGCAATAAGGTAACAGCATCTGTATGTCCGCTCTTCATGCTTTCTCCGTTTTTCATAACATTGAAACTTCCGGTGACGTCATTTTGCGGGAACTTTAAAAAATGAAATATGCTTAGATCATATTCGATAGCAATTTACAGCAATTTGATTATGTTGAGTCAAAGATTAAATTTAAAACATAAACTTCAAAACACCTCAAACACTTCTATTATCCAATTTATATACAAATGCAATATGAAATTTGGGGTCAAAATATAGGTCGCAGGAATTCCTCTTCCAAAACGAGGCTGTGTGGGGAAAGTCCAAACTTCATCTGTTCATGATCTGAAATAAAAGGTGAGTTTTTATATTTTATACCTATTTTACTTATTAATACTGTAATGACTCATTATGTTTGGACACACTGGGACATAGTCGAGACAGTTTCATGTTTTATAACTTGGGGCAGTGAAAATAATTGAAATAAATTTTCAGTGTTTTATCTTAGATCATAGGCCAAGGTTTGTGTAAAAAACCAGGTGACCCGGTACCGGTAGTATGTATCCAACAGACCGAATATAATATTCGGTCTGTTATGATTGATACCCTTCGCATGGAAATCGCGGCGATATTTTGTGCACATAAATTTCTCGTTTATTACAAGAATGTTCACCTTGAAAATTGGTGAATATGTTGAAGAGATGTTCATCTTAAACTAGAAGCAAAAATATTTGTATAACGCGGGTACAAGTTGATATAAAATCATAGATCCCGGCAAGATTATTTTGTAGTAGAATCAGTAGCTCAATAAATATTATTCTTTGAGCCTATGATCCTACTTCAAAACAATCTGGCCAACATCTGTGTATAAAATAATGAAATGTTCAGACTCACCAAAACTTCAGGATGTGTTCATAAGTAGATCGCGAAATCAATGTCAAGGACGTTTGAGTTCACGAGATCTAAACGAGATATGCAAATTTTTGAACTTTGACTTTTAACTTCAAACAAATAATATTGTAAGTTCTTAAAAAGGTAATCATTTTATCATTATACAAACTCATTTGTAACATTTATACAACACCACATTTTACAATAGGTGACTTACAGTCTGAATTTATTCAGACGAAGAATACAGTCCAGGGTACCCGGTCGACCGGTTCATTTCTGACGTATTGTTAACGTTAAAATTTAACGTTGTCGAAAGTTTTTTTCAATTTGAAATAACCTCAAAATGTGACGTCAATAATGACGTTCATAGACCGTATTGATCTGACGTTATTTAGATATTCAGCAAAACGTCGATGGATGGTTGAATTTCAACATTGTGGAAATGGCTTCAAAATATTTGTGAGTTAAGGAAACAATACAAAGACGTCAATATGTTCTCACTAAATCGGTTCATTACCGACGTTATTTTAACGTTAAAAGTTAACGTTGTCAAAACGTTCTTACGATGTGAAATGGTGAAGATGTGACGTTGAAAATAACGTACATGTATCGCCCAGATCCAACATTATAAATAAAAAAAATTCCTTACCCTGCTAGGAACGTTAAGTACCCGGTCACCCAGTTACCCGGTTACCCGGTCACCCAGTTTTTTACACAAACCCGGCCAAGGGAAAAACTTCGGTAGAACTTGAAAAATAAGATTTACCTGAAGATTAGGAGTCTTACATACCCTCTAGAGGTTAGAACACACATTTCAATGGAACCCTATCACCTTTGCTGCGTCAACTATAGAGCATTTAGCACAATATCCAAGAGGTAAAATATGGATCGTGAAAATGATTGTTTTCCTAGTAAGTTCCGGAAGTTTCACTACGATAAATTACCGAACATTTGTAACCCATTCCGCGCAGCATTTTATTCAGACCAATAGTTCAACTGTTAATCATGCAGTTTCTTCTATCTGAGAACAGGCCATCCTCCCCTACCCTGTCCTAAACTCGTCTGCAAAACACCTCAAAACATTCTTTTCAAATATCTTAATTATTTTTTCATCAGACATGGTTGGATGACATGTCACAAAATTAAAGTTCAACGTCAATACATTATTTCGTGATAGGGGCAACACTGTCCCGGAAGTCAAATGGAAAAATCCAAAAAGCATTATCACAAATTTCAATCAAGTACTGTGCTTATGCTTCATCATGAACAAAACAAAGCTGATATGGTTTCATTGGAATGTGTGTCCTAACCTCTAGAGGGTATGTAAGACTCCTAATCTTCAGGTAAATCTTATTTTTCAAGTTCTACCGAAGTTTTTCCCTTGGCCGGGTTTGTGTAAAAAACTGGGTGACCGGGTAACCGGGTAACTGGGTGACCGGGTACTTAACGTTCCTAGCAGGGTAAGGAATTTTTTTTATTTATAATGTTGGATCTGGGCGATACATGTACGTTATTTTCAACGTCACATCTTCATCCGACGAAGTCAGGCCGTGAAAAAAACTTTTAGTAAGCTTTAAATAGAAGAGACTCTTCTATATACAGCTTACTATTACTTTTCCCTTGGCCTATGCTGTAGATCTAATTTTTAGGAATTTGTCTAGAAGGAAAAAGAAGTCAATAGAGCAAGCCTTGACTCAAGAGCAAGCCTTGACTCAATAAGCATATAAAAGTAAAAAGGAAATTATCCTCGCCCGTAAGGTTACCATATTTTGATCATGGCCAAACAAGAAAATGCAGCAAACTCCTCGAGTTGAGGTCTCCGAGTCAAAAAGTTGCCTGACCTCCCGGGCCTGACCTTATCCCGTGCCAGGACTATAGTTCTGGACCGAGCCCAATCTTTTGCCTGTATTATTACAACTTGGGAGAATTATCTACGCCCCTTACACTTATGATACCTACTTCAATAGATTCCTTGGTATTTTAGCATTCTTTTCGTGTAGTTGAATCCACAATTGTCTGGGTTTATCGGCAGAACGAAGAAATTTTCGTTTTTGGATCGAGAGAGATTCCATCACTTTTCAAGATGGCGGTTGGATTAAAAGGGGATTCCCCGTTTGACTGGCCCGGAAGTGCCCCGAAGTGGCCCGGAAGTACCAATAAATGGAGGAATTTGACGGTTGATACAAGTTAAATTTTACACGCAAATATTGCGATCAAAAAAGAAAATTGCGAATATGGCACGCATTTGTTTTGTTTTAACTCATCACTACTCCCCCTTTCAAACTAATTTATTAAGCGCCATGCATGTGATTATTTTCAGTAAATCATTGTAACCAAGCCACCACCATGGATTTTGGATTGTGCAGTTTGGTAGAATATGCCATAATAGCCATCATTATTGTGCAAATCTACCGATTGATCAAAGCTGATGGAGATTTGACGTTAATGTGGGCAGAAAAATTTGGTAGCAAGCCATGTAAGTTGTGATAGATTCCAAAATGTTTAGGAAAATAGAGCTCGGAGTCTCTGTTTCACATAACAAATACATTTGAATAAATGGTCTTAAATCTGTTATGCAAAACCTCATTATTATAACTTTCTGTTAAACATCTGAAAATGAAAAATATGATTTACCTCATATATTAATTTCACATAAATGTTAGAATTGTAGATTTATGTTCATACACAGGTATATTTGACAGGCCTGTAGACGGGGGGGGGGTACAATGGGTTCGAGCGAACCCCCTCCCCTGGCCATAAATTCTTTCAAAATCACGCTGTTTTTCACCATTCTGAATCGAGAAAATGCTTGGCCATTTTTGGACCAAAATTGTCAAACGTGAACCCCCCTGGAATTTTCCAAAAAGTGAACCCCTTTGGCAAATCCTGGGGTCTGTTTGAGGATTAATTAACTATTGTGCATAAAGCATATGAGTAAACTTAATATTGTAAGAAAGTTCTAAAGTCGAGAGTGCCTCCTTAAGAGCATAATATTATTGCTTAATGCTGTTGTATGTAGGGCAAAAGTGCAAAATTTCAGGTGCTCTAAGTGGAGATGTAGTTTGGATCACTGGGGCCTCAAGTGGAATAGGGGAATACCTAGCATATGAACTAGCAGCTGCTGGGTGTAAACTGATTCTCTCAGCCAGGAGAGTTGACGAATTAGAACGTGTGAAGAAGCAATGCATTATGGGAGGCCCATTGCGCGAGGAGGATATCTTAGTTTTGCCACTTGACATGAGGGAGTTCTCTACACATAAGGATGCAGTAGACATTGTACTGAAACACTTTAATAGGGTAAACTTTTTTATTCTATTTGGAACATTAAAAATAGGCCAGGTGTATCTTGCATAGATCTCCACACCCAGAAAATATTATGTTTTCTATCTGAATTAAGCCCATGGGCTTATTTTGAAAGTACTTTAACAAATTGTCCATGTAATGATTAGACCTTATTACATACTATTCTATCAATCTAGAACTTGTTTTCCATCTGTTGCTACATAAAAAATTTTCACTACCAGATTGATGTTCTTGTGAACAATGCCGGGAGATCCCAGCGTGCGCAGTGGGACAAGATCGAGATTGAGGTAGATCGGCAGATGTTTGAGTTAAATGTACTCGGGGTGGTGAACCTGACCCGAGCTGTCCTGCCACACATGTACGAGAAAAAGAAAGGACATATTGTTGTCACTAGCAGTGTAGCTGGAAAATTAGGTAGATTTATCATGTGCACTTTTTAGACTTTGAATATCTTAGAGGAAGTAAAAGAGAGTGTAAAAATAAATATATAAGTTTGCTATCACTACATCTAGTGGATTTTCATTTTTGCTTGGAAGTTTTTCTGTTATTTCACACAGAAATCTTTGGATGAATTGAAGAATTAAATCAGCTATTTTGGATGTAAGACATTAAAATCTATAAAAAGTGTTACCCATCACATGTACAGTATTTACAGTAATTTCCAGGTGCACCAATGTCTGGCACATACACAGGTACAAAGCATGCCATACAGGTAGGTAATAAAAGCTGCAATATAACTCTATATAATAGTATAAATATATAAACACTATACATTTATATTTTTAATGTTTAAATAACTATTTTGTGAAATAAACATCATAGTTTGACTTTCTTAATAGTTTGTGAAGATCGAAAATTGAGAAAATCACATTTTGAAATACTGTATGTTGCAATAATATTTTTGTAGTAAACGCATCTATATACTGTTTATCCACTGATGTACTTACTGTATGATGAATTCTTTTTATGTTATTCCACTTTTCTATGGGAAACTCATGGTCTTAGTTTAAAAGTGAGAATCAGAGGTACTTGTTCAGGAAACCAAGCTGTTTAAAATACAATAAAATACAATTAGATATCATTTATATAAAGATATCTTTTTAATGTAGAAGAATTTCTCTAGATATTAAAGATGAACAAACTACTCTATTTCATACAATTCAATATATTAAAAAGTCTCAAATACAGTATGGCATCTAAACTTTAGAGTTTTAGAAAGCTCATACTGTACAATTATATGTACAATGCAAGATATTACATAGTATTATATCACTGTCATATTCCTCACTCTCTGATTGGTTTCTATGTTCTACATGTGACTAAAAAATAACTAGCGATATTCAATGGAAGTCACGTGACTTGTGACATAATAAATAAATACATAAATACTATGAGTATGAACACAATGGTTCCATTTTCATTGACCCATTGCAATGTTACAATTAATTATTATGTTAACATGAAACTTTAAATTAAAATACTACAATTTGGGAGTTGATATTTATTGACAGTACAATTTGGTAGTTTATATTTATTGTATTAATTGTTATTTTGTTAGAAGAAATATAAATGTATTTCAATGTTAACATATGACTTATTTAATTATAGAAGATGTTATGACAGTGATATAATAAAACAAATATTTAATTCTATTGAGGTGAATACCTGTGAATCTTTCACAAGTGATATTCCACGAAGCCCGAAGGACAAATATCACTTGTGAAAGATTCACAGGTATTCACCTCAATAGAATTAAATATTTGTATACATGTAGTATTATGTCTCTGATTTTCCTTATAAAAATACATATTGTCATATGTTTTGTTCAAACCATAATATCATAGCCATGATCAAATGCTCACATGGTTTTGAAAACAAGCTGAATATCACTGTTACAATAGGCAATGATACTAGACCATGACATGTGGTTATTTTAGGGCTACTTTGAGGCATTGAGGGTAGAGGGCGCTGAACACCAGATTGACATCACCCTTGTATGCCCAGGGCCAGTGTTTTCAGAGCTTTTACAACATTGTTACACGGACAGTAAAGACAAAGTGAGAATACCAAAGTACACAAGTTGATTTTCTTTATGCACGCAGTGTTTTTTGTGCTTGAATGATTAGCCCCCCCCTTCCCCCCTTCCCCCCACACCCCCCCCCCCCCCCCTTCTTTCTTCAGGTGTTTGTGGAAGTGAATTGGGAAATATGGGGATGGTATAGGCTAATTACTGTTTATCAAAGGGAAACTTCTCATAAATAAGTACATTAAAATTACGGGATATGTACACATATAAATGTATATATCAAACTTTAAATTGGTCCTAAATCTTCATCTTAGATTTAAATTAATTCAAATATGACGCCTGAATTAAATGTAGGGCTGTTGTTGTTTTTGAGAAGTTTCCCCCTTTTGTTAATAGTTTGCTTTTTTACGTTGTGCTTATAGGTAAAAAGCTGTTGTTCGACCCTTTATTCCCTTCTTTCACTTCTAATTATTTTTTGGCTTTTAAAGGGTTATTTTGAAACATTACGGATAGAGGGTGCTGATCGTAATCTTGACATCTCAATGATTTGTCCAGGCCCAGTGTTTTCAAACAATACAAAAGTTGCTTTCACAGATGAGGCTAATAAGGTAGATGTATGAGGGATCTCCTTATCTCCCTCATGGAGTCTACCCATCTCCATTTGGGAATCTCATTATCTCCCTAATCAAGTCTCCTCCTAGGATATCAAAAATAAACCTTTGTTATTCTGGTCATGTTTTCAATTTTTCATACCATTTTTCTTTCAAAACTCATCAGTTTATTTTCATTTTTCAACTCACCACCCTTATAATGTTCTTTGCTAATTCCACTTCTTTACATTTGAAAGCATGACTAATTTGACATTGTAACCTTCCTCGTTCCCTTTTCCCCTTTTGCTCATCCCACTTGCCCTGTCCTAGTTTCAGATACCTATCCTTTTATTCCTATACATGTGTGTGTCCATGTTCATTTTGTGTTTCATAATCTAGGGGTATTTCGATGCATTACGTATAGAGGGCGCTGAATTGAATCTTGACATAACAATGGCATGCCCTGGCCCTGTTTACTCTGACGCAAGACTTCGTGCATTCACGGAATATCAGGATAAGGTATTTCCCATCACCCATGTCTTTTTTATTTTCATGTTTTGCTTGTCTAGGTTTCCTACACGAGTGCCCTGCCCTATCAACTTTTCTTTTCCTACTGCCTTGCAATGTGTTCTAACCTTTAGAAAGGGCACTTATCCTTTCATTACTAACTCTAGGGCATCTTTGAAACTTTGAGGATAGAGGGTGCTGATCACAACCTTGATGTGACCCTCGCATGTCCAGGTTTTGTCTTCTCTTCTGGGCTCCAACGAGCATTTACTGAGACAACTACTGAGGTATATTTTTTCCTACCATAACCAGCTTTTGCCAAGGGGGTTCAGCTTTTAAAAATTTCCAGGAGGGTTCTTTGACAATATTGGCCTAAAATCACCTGAAAAATGCACAAAATGGTGAAAAACTGCATGATTTTGAAAGAATTTTAGCCAGGGCTTGAACACCCCCCCCCCCCCCCTCCCCCGACCCTCTCCCTGGCTATGGGCCTGTCTTGATTCATCATTGTATAGCTGTACAATGTCTGTTATCCTATACTCTATCACAATGTTTTGCTATAGTAATGTAGTATAAGTGATGTATATTTATCTCATCCTAAACTTAATCCTTTTTTATGTCCCCACCACATAGTGTGGGGCCATATTGTCGGCCTAGGCGCGTCCGTCTGTCTGTCTGTCCGTCTGTCCGTCCGTACGTCCGGCAGTTTTCTTCAAAACCGCTACAGATATCACCTTCAAATTTTCAGGGATAACTTATGAGTGCATACAGATGTGGATGAAAAAAAATCGATACCTACTTCCTGTCGGCCATTTTGAAGTCAAATGCTAAAATCCTTGTCTGCAAACTTTAAGAAAAACGGCTTCACAGTTGCTTTTAAAACTTTAACATCTTGTTCAGCTCACTTCATTCTAGATCTGATTAGGTTTTGGACCTGTTAGCTCAGTCATGCCAGCCATTTTGAATGTTTTAAGAAAAGTTAGCGCAGGATAATACTTTGTATCATATTGAATGGTGTTTTTCAGTTTTCATACTTTAACTATTTAGTAGCTTTATAAAAAATAATTTCAGGTGTACTTTGTTGTAAAAGCCTATGTTATTGTTAACAGTAGTTATATGTGATAATTTTGTAAAAAGAAATCAGCAAAAACTCATAATCACTTTTTTATTGTCGGCCATTTTGGATTTTTCCGTCCTAAAATCTTGTCTGTAAAGTCTTGTCTACGCATTTTCAGGTGAACCGTTTGGTAGATCAATTTCAAATTTTCAGGGATGATTTTTAGTATGAAAAGCTAGATCTGATTAGTTTTTGGGCATTCTGGGTAAATGTCAAGGCAGCCATTTTGGATTTTCCGTCCTAAAATCTTGTCTTTAAAATCTTGTCTACGCATTTTCAGGTGAACCGTTTGGTAGATCAATTTCAAATTTTCAGGGATGATTCTCAGTATGAAAATCTAGATCTGATTAGTTTTTAGCATTCTGGGTAAATGTCCAGGCAGCCATTTTGGATTTTCCGTCTTAAAATATTGTCTGTAAAGTCTTGTCTATGTCTACGCATTTCCAGGTGAACCTTTTGGTAGATCAATTTGAAATTTTCAGGGATGATTCTCAGTACTAAAATCTAGATCTGATTAGTTTTTTGGCATTCTGGATAAATTTCAAGGCAGCCATTTTGGATTTTCCGCCTTAAAATCTTGCCCGTAAAGTCTTGTCTACGCGTTTTTAGGTGAACCGTTTGGTAGATCAATTTCAAATTTTCAGGGATGTTTCTTAGTATGAAAATCTAGATCTGATTAGTTTTTAGGCATTCTGGGTAAATGTCAAGGCAGCCATTTTGGATTTTCTGTCCTAAAATCTTGTTTGTAAAGTCTTGTCTACACATTTCCAGGTGAACTGTTTGGTAGATCAATTTCAAATTTTCAGGGATGATTCTTAGTATGAAGATTAGTTTTTTGGCATTCTGGATAAATGTCAAGGCAGCCATTTTGGATTTTCTGTCCTAAAATCTTGTCTTTAAAGTCTTGTTTACATGTTTTCTGGTTAACTGTGTGACGGATCAATTTCAAATTTTCAGGGGTGGGTTTTAGTATGAAAATCTAGAACTGACTAATTTTTTGGCATTCTGGGTAAATTTTAAGGTGGCCATTTTGGATTTTCCGTCCTCAAATTGTGTCGGTAAAGTCTTGTCTACTCATTTTTAGGATAACCATTTGACGGGATCACCCATAGGTGGGGACATTTTGTACACATTTGTGTTCTTGTTTCTTATTTCATTGCATGACATTTACTACATTTATTTATAGGTTATGAAAATTATAGAACTTTGTGAATTTATTCTTTATTATGTTCTGAAGATTAAAATAATAAAAATAATTGATTTCACTATTTTCAATGAGAAACATCAAATAGGTTCTTAAATATTATTTTCAATTTTTTTAAAGACAAAAAAAAAATTATTGTAGAAAAATAATGAGCCAAGTTCAATTAAATATATCATAGATGAATAATGTATACATGTTTCTTGATCAATATTTAATATGGTTCAATAATTATTAATTTTTTACCAGGAGTTTGGTCAAGACATGGATCCATCTACCGAAAATAGGATGACGACAGCAAGGTGCGCTGAACTGATGGCCATCGCCATGGCAAATAAATTAGATGAGGTGTGGATCTCTACACATCCTGTCCTGCTATTTATCTACCTCTTCCAGTACTTTCCCTGGTTTGCCAGAAAGTAAGTACACTGTACAGTATTTTAGACTATTTGTCACTGTATGTGAATGAAGCTTGTTGATTGGTCAAGATCAGAAACATCTTTTATTGCTTCTCATACCACATGTTCTAGTACTGCTGTGATTTACTAGGAGTAAGTCCAGTGTACAGTATTTTAGACTATTAGTCACTCTATGTGAATGAAGCTTGTTGATTGGTCAAGTACTGCTGCTATTTACCAGGAAGTTGGTCCAGTGTACAGTATTTCAGATTATTAGTAACTCTATGTCAATGGTACATTCTGATTGGTTGCGTTATGTTGTTTCTATAACCCCAGGGCATTAACATCTAGTATGAGCTTACCTTGTCACGTACTTTGGATATATTCCCAGGGATATATTGCTGTGAAATGGTTCTTTACATGGGTTCTCCTGAAAACCCATGCTCCTTATTGTCATCTTATGAATTGAGGGCAAATAGATGGATATGTGTAGGACAGCAGATCTTAAATATGGTTCAGGGTCATTCTGTAAAGCCATCCAACATACCTAGATTCAAAGCCCCCCCCCCTCCCCCAGATAGATTATATACATCAGGGGTTTCATGAGAACAACAGGCTAAATAAATGAAAACAACAGGCAAAATTAATGGAAATCATAAATTTAACATTGAAAAGTTAAAAAGTCCCTAAAAACAACAGGTGATCTTGTAAAAACAACCGGTGAAAATCGCTTGTTGTCTGCAACTAATGAAACCCCTGTACATGATTCTGGTATCAGTAGGGTAAGACTAAATACAACTTGGGGTTAGGATTTCTATAATTGCAGTACCTTTTCAGGGCCGTCAGATGGGGGGGGTGCGATGGGTGCGACCGCACCCCCCTTTGTCAACCCCCAAAATAAATTTGAAAAAAAAAAATTTGAAAAATTTTTTTTTTTTGAAAAATATTTTTTTTGTAATTTTTTTTCATTGACTCATACACTTAGAAAGTACCCAGAAAGCACCAAATAGCATCTTAAAATTGTAAAATTTTCTAGGGGTATTGGCCACCCCTCACACCCCCCACAAAACAATGGAAATGTTCTAAATTTATTTTAGAGTTTTCTCTCAGACACTTTTAAAGTGCCCAGATATCATCAAATAGCTCCTTGATTTAGTTAGTGTTTCTGGGGGACTTACTCCCCTTCTTGCATCTTGCACTTGCATAACCCCCCCTCCTCTGGCGCCCCCCCCCCCCCCCCTTGACCCCCCCCCTAAAAAAAAAATTGTGATTTTCTCAAATTCTTTAATTGACTCATACACTTTGAAAGTGCCCAGAAAGCACCAAATAGCGTCGTAAAATTGAAAAATTTTCTAGGGGGAGTGGGCCACCCCTCAAACCCCAAACAAAACAATGGAAAAGTTCTGAATTTGTTTTATGTATTGTCTCAGACACTTTTAAATTGCCCAGACATCATCAAATAGCTTCTTGATAAAGTTTATGATTCTGGAAGACTAACACTTAACCGCCCTCTGGCAACCCCACTCCATCTCCCCCTCTGGCAGCCCCCTCCCTTAACACCCTACCCCCCCAAAAAATTGAGATTTTTCAAATTTTTTTATTGACTCATACCCTTTGAAAATGCCCAGAAAGCACCAAATAGCATCTTAAAATTGTAAAATTTTCTTGGGAAATATGCACTTTTAGGCACAGACACTTTTAAAGTGCCCAAACTTCATCGAATAGCACATTGATGTTGTAAATTTTGATATGGGGGACAAACACTTGCTCCCCCTCTGGCACCCCAGCCCCACCTCCCCCTCTGGCACCCCACCCCCCCTTTGACACCCCCAAAATTTTAAAAAAATTGTGATTGTTTTTCAATGTTTTTATTGACTAATACACTTTAAAAGTGCCCAGAAGCACCAAATATCATCTTTAAATTGTAAAATTTTCTAGGAGAGTTAGCCAACCCTCACATCCCCCACAAAACAAAAGAAAATATCCTGAATTTCACGTATTGTCTCAGACATTTTTTAAGTGCCCAGACATCATCAAATAGCACCTTGATATGGTCAATGTTTCTAGAGGACAACCCCTTGCTCCCCTACTGGCACCCCACCCCACTTCACCCTCTCATCCTCTTTGACACCTCCAAAAGAATTTGAAAAGATTCACATTTTTCTTATTGACTCTTAACGCACAGGCGTACCAGATGGTTGCAAAGTCTCTCCAAATACAACCAAATTTCAAAATTTTCCTGGGGGAAAACCCCCCCAGACCCCCCTGATTACTCGGTTTTTTATTCACTCAACTCTTATTCCCGTGGTGGTGGCGTACTACTTAGAAACTAACACTTTGAAAGTGCCCAGAAAGCACCAAATAGCATCTCAAAACTGTAAAATTTTCTAGGGGGAATGGACCACTCCTCACACCCCCCACAAAACAATTGGAACGTTTGGAAGGTGCATGCATTTGTTAATTCCAAACCAATATAGGGAGTAGGGCTGTGCCGGAACCGGTTCGGACGGTTCGGAATCGGAACCGGAACTTGGTCTCACGGAATCGGAACTTTCGGAACCCCTTTTGGTTCACAAATGAAAATAATTATGTATGAGTGAGTTCGACGGCGATCATGACGATATCGTCGTCCAAGTTTGTCAGGTTAACACTTACCTTTCCTGTCAAGCAAGTTTGAATGTTTTTACGAAAGAAATAGACTCTAAAATCTGTAAAAAGAGAGAAAATTCGATCTTTTTTCTACTTGTTTTCACTTCCGGCTGCTCTGACCATAATGCGCATGCGTAATTGAAAAAGTTTTGAAACGAAATCAACGAAATTGAAAAACTGTGAAACCCAAGGAGGATTGGGTCCCAGAATGCAACATCGATGCTTTCTGTTGATTTCTCCGCTATTTATTTTGTTTATGCGAGTAATACACATGCAAATTGGATGTAGTTTGAAGGAAAACATCACTGGAGGAACAATGGTCACGGATATTAACGATTCAAAGCAAGTACTAAGGTAAGGGTCCGATATTGTTCCGAAACCCTTCGGAACATGATATTAAAATTCCGAATTCCGGTATTTTAACAAAAGTCCGCGGTTCGGACCGATTCCGGTCGAATGGCACGGCCCTAATAGGGAGTAACTGACCCCCCCCCCCCCCCCTCTGTCTTACGCGATTTGATTTACGCGGCAAAAAAATGACAATTTTATATTCTCTTTAGAAAGCTAAAAACCGCACCCCCCTTGGAGAAAAGTGTCTTACGGGCCTGCTTTTAAACATAAAAGCCTACTATTTAAACACAGATTCTTTGCTTGTATTTTAGAGTATCCTTTGTGTTACCAATTTTGAAATATTCTAAAGATGTCAGCAGTGAGTAGCATACTGCGATTAAAGGGAAATAAAAATAAACTCAAATTTTGAAAAAAAGGTTTGTGTATCTAATGAAAGATGTCACTTTTGTATAAAAATACAACATGCTCTTAGTTTGGAGCTGTCAACATTTTAAAGCAAGCTGAATTATTGTAAACTAACTTGAGGTTATACAAACGGGAGGTGACTTATTTATATTCCTTGGAGACAGTCTAAATTCAACACTGGAATCTGGTGAAGAAATGTTGATAAAACTGAATTTGGATCTTAGATATTTCACACTCGTTATGGATTTTTTATTACTCATTTTCTCTCATTTCTGTTCATCGAGTTTTTCACTATTGTGATACAACTCAGAGATTGATATGTGTAATTATTTTTTACTCAATTTTGTTTTTATCTTTCTCCTAATTGTTGTTTTTTAGTCAAGGAAAGCATTTTTGTATAAATGTAGGTCCCTTGACATGTTGATTAGGGAGTAGAAACTTGGAAAAATATTTTGAAAATCATATTTTTAATTGTGAATTAAACTAAAAAGTAATGATAATAGCAAGGAATGAAGCAAGCAGGCATGTAGTCTAAATGCCAAATTGTATAGAAATGCAAGAAAAATGGGTACTTTATTCAAATTTAACGGAGAAATAATCTAAAATAGATGTGGCTCGAGTTGTATTTTAAGCAGACGGAATTGACAACTGAAACTACAGTTTGTTTAACTCACATTTTAACAGGATATAAAATAATGGGCCAAGATCCGGGTTAGGTCCCATGATAGAATTTAAAAATAGTTAGAAATTTTTGTTTGAAATGTGTCAGATGTATCTGGAACAGGACATAGAGCATAAAATACCCAAGTCTGAAAAACTGTATGAAGATAGAAGAAAACGGCAGCAAGTGTGGTACACTGGTACAGGTTGAAATGAGGAAGCAATCTTCAAAAAGCCTCAAAAATGTTAATGAGCTCATTAACTCATGAGCTCATGTCAGAAAATGATCCAAGAAATCTGATGAAATATAAAAGTAATTGAAGATTTAAGATGCAGAAATGTCCAAAATTAAAATGGAAAAATTAATTATTTTACCTTTATTAGAATTAAAGATGATTAAAGTCAAAACATCTAATGAACAAAAAGTCAATTTGTCAGTCAAGGAATTCTGAATGTAAAATATAATATAAAACTGTAACAATTTTTAGAAATTTATCCCGAACCTTATTTTTTGTCTAATCTGATAAAAATGAATCCTATTCATTGATCCTGAAGACCTTGAAAACATCCACATGTTTACCATAATTGATCATTTTCATATATCTGCTAAATTCTCCAGACCTGAACTTGAATCTTGTGCCAAGCAGAGTGTAATTTCTTTCTTATCTCCAAACATGGAGTATAAAATTCATCAAATTCCTTGACTCTGTTTTTATTAGGTTAGTCTAAATTTCAACACTGACACGAATTGATAAATATTAGTAAAGTTACATTGGTGATGTTTTCATTCAGAATGAGTTACAGCATTAATTGAATCTGACGTGATATAAGATTGGAATTTGGATGCCAACAGTTTTATTTGAGTTGAGTTAGGCTAAGAAAAAACTTTTTCTTGCCAGATTGTAGATGAAAAAATTCCATGGGAAAAAATACTTGACCCAGCCAGGTCATGTAAA